GGAAATATGTAACCATGTTGTTTTAAAAAAAAAGAGCATGATTTCTCAAACTGTCTTGTTACTTTCTTTCGTTTGGTTTGTGGTAAATTGCATCAAAAAGGTCCTTGAATTTATGGATTTTGGCATGGAGAAGTCATGAAAAGTCATGGAAAAAATTCTCCAACCTAGGGGAAGAACCCTGTATCAGTGAACGCTAACATAATAGGGTCGTGTGCATGTGTGTGTGTGTGTGTGTGTGCGTGCGTGCGTGCGTGCGTGCGTGCGTGCGTGCGTGCGTGCGTGCGTGCGTGTGTGTGAGCGCGCGAGTGAGAGAGAGACCTACCTCAATTATGTCGGCATCATGTTAGTCAGCCTGTAAATGGTATTCTTATATTGCTGTCATAACTGTAAATTGATACTACAATATAGCACATACGTGCGCGCGCACGTGTGTGTGTGTGTGTGTGCGTGCGTGCGTGCGTGCGTGCGTGCGTGCGTGCGTGCGTGTGTGTAATATAGCTTACCATATGTTCCAATGAAAACATGTTTCATCCAATATTGACACAGAAATTTAAAAGCTTACTCTGTACATTTTTATGTCTCGTATAATATAAACTAGACGTAAATGTTGTTTAGAGTTCATGGCAGCCGGGGAGCCAGTACCCGGACGAATTGCATTCAATTTGGATACATACGGAGCCTTTGTTAACTTGGTGATCGGAGGCAAAACAATAAGAGGTGCCCTGATAGTAACTCCCCTGGTCTTTACTAGCAGACAAGCTAAACAGGGCCATCTACACTATTCCCACCCATGATCGTAATATCCGTTTTCTTACCATATGATTTGCTATTAATTAGATGTCACATTCTACTAATGACACCTTGTAATTATTTTGCCAGAAACAATAGTCGCCAAGAAACCAAGGAACCTGGCCCTCTGGCGGCTGAAATCTGACCTAAAGCCAGATGACACACCTCTCCCACCGACACGCAAACCAAAGCCAGTAGTGAGGACAGACTTCAGCCCCACCCCTAGCAACAAGCCGAGTCAGAAGTCCCCGGCAGCGCATCACAAGTCTGCAGTGGTGCACCCTGTCCCAGCAACAGATCAGCAGCCTAAGGTGAGGGATGGATACCCATGATATAATGGTCATCATGGAAAGGACGTAGCTTAAGTTATCTTATTATTATTATATATATATATATATATATATACTAGCGGGATACCCGGCGTTGCCCGGTTGTAACATCACCCAGCTATGAGTGTGTGAGTGTAACATCACACAGCCATTGGCGTGTGAGTGTAACATTACCCAGCTATGAGTGTGTGAGTGTAAGATCACCCAACTGTTACTAATATGTAATATATGTAAGACATTGAGACATGTGAATCGGCAGTGTAGTCATGTGTGCACCTATTTACAGCTAAGCCAGAGCCACCTCCCATCTTGCTGTTTGGGAGACAGAGGCGACGCCCATCAGGAGATGTGACAACGGACAGCCGCACAGATGCAGAGAAAGCTGACGCAGCAAGCAAGCAGAAGAAAGCATCGCCCACCAAGCGAGGTAAATGCTCTCTCTGTCTGTTGTCTGGAGGAGCACTTTTGCATCAGTGCATGAGACACTACATATGGATCTGTGGTAGTATAATTTATGTTGGTGAATGCATGGCATGTAAGACATGAGTGAATTACTCGTCATGCACTTTCTGTCCATCCTCAGGTCTGGACAGCAAAGCAGGGAAGGAGAAGAATGCAGGCGAAGCAGTACAGAAGAAAGATAAATCTAGTCAGAAGATGGAAGACAAGAAGCGCAAGCAGAAACATGCAGATGTGTCGCCGCCAAAGAAATCCAAGCACAGCAAGGATCGTGACACCAGGGGGCGGCACCACCATCACCACCATCACAAGAAACACAAGCATCACAAGGACAGAAAGCAGGACACGTCTGCAGCCAATCATGCAGAGCAACACAGCAGCAGCAGCAGCAAGCATAAGAAGGAGAAATCAGCTGAGCTGATTCTCAAGGACGTCAAAGGTCATCGCTCCGACCTAACAATGACAATCAAGACCAACACCATCTATGATTACAACAGCGACTTCACCGACGATAGCAGCGCATTGCCTAGCAACCAGACATCAGAAGCTGAGGAGAGTGAAGTGGACAGAAGCAAGAAATCAAAAAGATCCGTGGAAAAGAGTAACATTGCTGGTGAGAATTTACCTGTGAAAGTTTCACTTGCAACACCTATTGATTTTATATATATATATATATATATATATATTCTTGTGTATACACAGCATGGCGGCTATGATATTTAAGTGGCG